TGTGGATGTTCTGCAGGACCGGAGGCAGGAGGAGAGAGCCCCGCTGCAGTCTCTCTGTAACTGCCCTGCCCCGCCACCAAGTCCCATACCCCCCTCACCCAAAGTCCAAACACGGAGGGGTGGAAGGGGCCGTGAAAAATTTCACTCCACCCCTGCGGACTGCTCTACCACTAGAAGGCTCTCATTCCCCAAAATTTGAAAAGTCCTTTCCTACCCGCCTCACACAAGACCCCGTCCAAGTTTCACCCCCCCGTTCCATGTGCGGTTGTTAATAAAGAATACGTTTCTGTTCATTTCTGTTTCCATCCTCTTCTTTTGGAGGGGAGTCTGTCTGAAGCGGGGGGAAGGGGCTTGGTCATTGGACAGGACAGTCACCTTTAGCAGGGGGCAGGTGCAGCAGCAGGGCACATATACAGTGCAGTGACTAGTTATCCTGGTCAGTCTGGGAGGTGGTTTTCATGTTCTGTGTGGTGGGGGGGGTGGTGTTGCTCTGTGACTTGGTGGCGGGGGAGGGCAGTTACAGATCTTATGCAGCGGTCCTTACCCTGGATCACAGAGCCGCGCAGCAGGGGATCTGTAACCCTCCTCCCCCTGCAAGACAGTCACATAGCCGACACATACACGCAGTCCCGGCCAGGAGGGCTGGCAGGCTCCATTGAAACAACCAGTCCACCACCGCGGAGCCTGTCATTCCTGGAGTTGAGAAGCATCATTTGCATCACAACACTAAACCCGCCCCCCGCCACAGTCTGCGTCCCAGGTTTAAAACATTCCCGCGAAAACAGTAATAAAGACAATGGTGTCCATTAACAAAACAGAACAGATTTTATTTTTTGGGAAGGGGGTGAAGGGGGTATGTGATTGGAGAGGATAGTCGACGGCAACTGGGTAAAGAAACGGGGGCAAGTTCTGCTTCTGTGTCCACAAACTTAAAAGTCACTGGGTACCCTGCTCAGCCTTGAAACTGGCTTTCAAAGCCTCCCGGATGCACAGCGCATCCCGCTGGGCTCTTCTAATCGCCCGGCTGTCTGGCTGGGCGTAATCAGCAGCCAGGCTATTTGCCTCAACCTCCCACCCCGCCATAAAGGTCTCCCCCTTGCTCTCACACAGATTGTGGAGCACACAGCAAGCTGCAATAACGATGGGGATATTGGTTTCGCTGAGATCACAGCGAGTGAGTAAGCTTCTCCATCTCCCCTTGAGACGGCCAAAAGCACACTCCATCACCATTCTGCACTTGCTCAGCCGTTAGTTGAAGAGTTCTTTTTCAGTGTCCAGGGCGCCAGTATAGGGCTTCATGAGCCAGGGCATTAGCGGGTAGGCTGGGTCCCCGAGGATCACTGTAGGCATCTCCACATCCCCAACAGTTATCTTGTGGTCCGGGAAGTAAATACCTTCCTGCAGCCGTCTAAACAGACCAGAGTTCCTGAACACGCGAGCGTCATGAACCTTGCCCGGCCATCCGACGTAGATGTTTGTAAACCGTCCCCGATGGTCCACCAGTGCTTGCAGCACCATTGAAAAGTAGCCCTTTCTATTGATGTACTGGCTGGCCTGGTGGCCCGGTCCCAGGATAGGGATGTGAGTCCCATCTATAGCCCCACCGCAGTTTGGGAATCCCATCGCGGCGAAGCCATCTATGATGGCCTGCGCGTTTCCCAGGGTCACTACCTTTGACAGCAGTACCTTGACGATTGCCTTGGCTACTTGCAGGACAACAACCCCCACGGTAGATTTGCCCACGCCAAAGTGGTTCGCGACTGACCGGTAGCTGTCCGGCGTTGCAAGCTTCCAGAGTGCTATGGCCACTCGCTTCTGGACAGTCAGGGCTGCTCGCATGCGGGTGTCCTTGCGCTTCAGGGCAGGGGACAGCAAGTCACAAAGTTCCAGGAAAGTCCCCTTCCGCATGCGAAAGTTTCGCAGCCACTGGGATTCATCCCAGACCTGAAGCACTATGCTGTCCCACCAGTCCGTGCTTGTTTCCCGGGCCCAGAATCGCCGTTCAACAAAATCCACATGCCCCATTGCCACCGTGATGTCCTGGGCGCTGGGGCTCGTGGTTTCTGACAGCTCTGTGCTACTCTCCGACTTCAGGCCCTCACGGCGGTGCCGTAGCCTCCTCGCCTGATTTCTCTGCATCTGCCTCTGGGAAAGGTGTATGATAAGCTGCGAGGCGTTGAGAACGGCCACAACTGCAGCGATGGTCGCAGCGGGATCCATGATCGCAGTGCTGTGGCGTCCGCGCTGTCACTGATCTAAAAGTGCGCGAACTGATTTCCCGCCGGCGCTTTCAGGGAGGGAGGGAGGGCGGTAGTGACTGACGGATGACGACAGTTACCCAAAAGCACCCTCGCCACATTTTTTTACCCAGAAGGCATTGGGGGCTCGACCCAGAATTCCAATGGGCAGCGTGGACTGCGGGAACTGTGGGATAGCTGCCCACAGTGGACTGCTTCCAATGTCGACGCTTTCCCTGGTAGTGTGGACTGACAAAGTCGAATTACTGTCCTTAGTGTGGACACACACGTTCGACTTTCTAATATCGATTGCACATATTCGATTTAACTAAAATCGAACTACTCTCGTAGTGTAGACATACCCTAAGTGACTTGGTTAATGCCACACAGGAAATCTGTGACAGAGTCTGGGATAAAATCTCATTCTCTTGATTCCACGTGCATTGCCTTATCCATGAAGTCATGCTCTCTCTTATTGCAGCCTCCTGTCACATTTTCTACACACTTTCCAATTTCTGTGATGAATGAGGCAGGGAAAAAATGAGAGACTGACACCAAGGCATCACCAGAGCCAACCTCTCTCAACCCTGAGGAGCTGTTCAAGGAAGGCAGTCTTGGTGTGTATGTTGACTTGGATGATGACGGTGCTGAGAGCAGTCACTGGGCTTCCTCTCCTTACTCTTTTACCTCCAGCTAGGGAGCAAGGAATCACCCCAGAGAGCTGTGTCCCAGACAGTGGCTCAGGCACAACATTTTTTAAATGACAACATGGCTAACTGATTACATACAAATACTTATATAGGGGAGAAAAAGAACGGGAATGACAAGGGAAACATCACATGCCTTTTGTGATCACTGTACTTTTGCAGCATAAAGGAAATTAAGGGCAGTTTGGGAAACTCCCCCTTTTATACCGTTGAAACTGTGTGACTGGAGAAGGGTGAGTGGTCCAAATAGGTACACTTATCCCAAGAGGGGAAAATTCTTGAAGCAGAATATAGATAGATAATTTTAAATACATGTACTCTAATACCTTTGACACAAGATCTTCCTCATCTTTATCATTATAAGGATAAACGTAGGATCTGCTCTATAGCAACCTAACCTATCTAGTAGACGGCCTAAGATTCCCTGTTTCTTGGCCTGTTTGGAGGGACCAGTGGCCTTTTATCTCATCAAGCGCCAGCCATAGAAGCTAATGCCAAGAATATATGATGGCCAGTGATGCACAGCTTTGGTTATTCATGAGATATTAGGCTATTTTAAAAAAATCACACTATTCAAATAGTACTCTGCATGCCCACTCTGCCCTGTAGGTATAGAATACCATCCTGTCTGGTGACACAGATAGTCTACTCCTGAACTTCAAACATCTACCTATAAATTAGTTGCTTTTTTGGAAAAACAAAGTTGCTTCACTATAATTGGGTGCAAGCAGCCTTTTTCTTCTTTACAATGTATTTCATTACATTCTCTACTTTCAGAGGCTATCTGCAGGGTTTTAGCTGAATATCACCCAACCTATTATTAAAGACTGTGCACCACTCTGGAATGTAACTTCTGTGCTAAATTGTTACATAATATTAAACTAATAGTTGTGGCTGGCAAATGATACAGTTGAGATTATATACAGAGATTCATTACAACTATCATGAATAAAATATCTATGTAATACCATATAGGCATACATATAAAAGCACCAGGCACACCTATGGCATTATGAAAATAATAATTTAGCTTACTTTTCTTAATTTTATCCCATTACTCCAAGTTATAATTTCTTGGGATCCCCTAAACGAATCTCCTTCCTTGATGCAGGCAATTTTCAGATACTTGTAGATGGCTATCTTATGTAGAAGCATATTGCATGTGGTTATCCTTTCTATTTGTTTTAATTTTTCCTTATAAGCTATTTCCTCTAACCCCTTTTTCATTTTGAATATTCTTTTCTCAAATCCCTTGATGTCGTCAACTTCTTTCTGGATATCAGGTATTCAGATCTGAACACAGCATTACTTCTGAGTTTCATTGACTTAGAAGTTTATGTGAGATGCACTCTCTTCTAAATTGTGAGACATTATGAAGTAGGCAGGGATATAGGCCACATACAGTAGTCAGTCATAAGGAGATGCTCCTAATTTATGACATCAGACATACCCGGCAGCTTTGAAGTTTACATCAGCTGAAAATTTAAATAAATAATTTGTTTGGGGCTGCTTTGAATAATGGATTTTCAAATTGTGTAGAAAATCTGATGGGAAAACCTCACAATCTATCAACATTTTACTGGAAGCTCAATTCTATTGCGTTTCAGTGGAGGTTCAAAATTGTTTAAAGAAACCAATCTGCTCTTTCTCCAACCCTAAATGTATCACTTGAGATTTGAACTTCCAATAGGAGCAGTATCTGACATGTAACTAATTTTAGACTACAAAATGCTCCCCAACATATTGCAATACCTATAATTTAAAATAACAGTAAACCTAAATTTTGCAAAAACAGAAAATTCGAGTGCTAACAAAAAGCATAATTTATAATTGAAAGAAAATAATATTTAAAATAAAAAAAACTTTTTTGTCCTTCCAAAAAGAGACAGAAATTACTAAGTTTTATTTCCCAAGAGAATTATGCCACTTTTGTAAAGAAAATTACAGTCACCACAAATTGCTCTCAACAATTCCAAGGCTTCTTCATTTGACCACTTGAAAATCAAAGTTCTTTAAGATTATAAATATAACTTTTTATAACTCTGTTATTACGTACTGTGAATGGGGAAAGGGGGCCAATCTTGTGGCCGTAGCGCCGAATGGCCTCTCTGATGTGGCAGGGCTGGATGGCATCGCTTTGAGCCTCTATACCACAAGCTGCAGTGCTCTGCAACAGAAAAACACATAAATTGTTGCTAAATCAAAAACACACAACAGACCTGCAGTGCATAAAATATGAAAATAAACCTTTATAAAATGGACTGATTTTTTTTCCTGAGGATACACATTATTGTTGCCACACACTACATCTTAAAAATCTATTAACAAATCAAAGAGGACTTTTACATGACCTCTGTTTAACAGACCCAGAGAACAATATATTTGTCCTCTTAAATCTTTTACCCGGTGCTGATGTATGTAGCAATGGAAAAGAGCAGCAAATGCTCAAATTCAAATGAAAGGATCGTGTAAGTCATGCTGCTATAACCACAGAAAGCTATTTCTGAAACATTTCAAGCTTTCCTTATAATATTAAGGGGCGGGCAAAAAATTCTGATAAGTATTTCAAAGCAGACACCAAGATCACAATCGTCTGATGTCAAATTTAAATTTGAAAATGAAACCTGTAACATAATTATAAAGTCACAAAGATAAAGAAATATCTGAATAGATTCAAACTGGAGAATTTTCAGATTTTAAATAGATTTTTGAACTAAGGACACTGTGCAAGAAATAGCAGATTCATGCATGCTGGTCCACAGATGCTACAAAGGTCTTCCTGGCTATGCAGGAGCAGAAGCTGTATTGTATTTTTAGTAGGAAAACTGTAATATTGGTGTAGGCCTCTCTGGCTACCCAAGACAGCTGCTTACAAAAATTCACAGATTCCATCCAGGTGACTGCCACGTGATAAGATCAGGGGAATGCCACTGGTGAATCCATTAAGCATGACCAACATACAATGGACACTGCATATACAAGATGTACACAAACATACTATGAGCATATACTGTGGGCCAAAATTTTCAGACTTGGATGTCTAAAGCTAAGTATCTAAATAAAGTGCCTGATTTTCAGAAGTGCTGACCACCAACAGGTCCCAGTTGGCATCAATGAATGGAAACCACATGCTACATAATGTGTTGGTGGGTCCTTTCTAAATGACATTCATAAAGGGAATGTGAAACCCACTGCTTTGTGTTGGTCTGGGCCCTGATGTAGTATGAATAGCATTCTTCACTAAACAGCTGGTCTATCACGACACCTTAGCTATGCCTAGTAGACTCCTGTGAAAACTGGATATGTCGTTTCAGTAAATTGTACAGTAGTTTATAAATATCACATTTTTTAAAATGACATTGAAGTAAGGTTATGAGCTTATATTAAACAAAACTGTACCTAAAATTGCATCCTTAGTTAATATTTTGTGCCTGTGAACTGCAGAGCAAATCACTCATATGAACCCCACCAACCCAATGTAAAAAGGAAGAGGGAAAAGTAACATTCAGAACTCCTAAGACAAATATTTTTACAGATCATCAATAAGTTCCTCACTGGTATGGTATGTAACAAAGCCAATGCTGACAGTTAATTTATTAGTGAGGGAAAGGTGAACTATATGGGGAGTGTTTATCCCTCTTATGATTCTATGAGAAGCATATACATACTGTGGAAGCAGAGATTATTCTCCGACAATACCTTGTTTATTGTTTGATAATGTCAATGTAACAATTACTAGTGGAATGTGCATGTTTGTTGGCAAGAAAATAATGTATATGACAGCAACACTAGTGCTTCAATTCATGCTGTTGACCTTGAGTTATAGTAACATATTTTTTCCCAAGATTTCCCAAAATATCTGAAAAATACAGCAAATGATACATAACCTCTTCGTTTATTCAATTTTCCCCACTTCAGTTTTGATATGTTCATCCCTCCCACTTAGAACACCTGGGATTACAGTGAAAACTAGGAATGGTATTACCGACATTGGATATCTTGAATGTGAGATAAAAGATACCCATATTTCATTCAAAGCATGTAAGCTGAACTTACTGAGATAAAAATAAGGATACTTAAGCCTTTTCAGCAATTTTGATCTTTAAAGTGTGTGCCATATTTTACAATTCAGTTTTCAAAACCAAGATTTCAAGCCCAAGAAAAAGATCAAGATCTTTAGCAGATATTTTGAGTGCCTGTCTACGACAGCCTCATCCACACCAACCTTTTTTCTTTTTCTTTGTTTGACTTTGGTGGAGTCTTGTCCAATGCCTCCATTCCCCAGGGCTCCGGACAGGGTTTTCCCAAGGTGTTGTGGTCCTGCTGATGCTGGGGGAGTGGGCGTAGGAGGTGGTGTGTTTTCGGGGGAGTCAAGACTACTCTTCATATTTGTGGTCTGGCCTAAGAGATGTGGCTATCAAAACAAAAAGTCAAGCAGTTATTGTAAAATGAGATTTTTAAGAACTGTTTCATTGGTTTCCTGGACTTACTGTTACAGGAAGTATAATACAACATTCAGTTTGCACATTCGGGAAGTTACTGTGATGGCTGATCCAGGTAATTACAGCAACTATTGTATCTGCTATTGCTGATATGTATGCATATTAATTTCTAATGCTGGAATAAAAGTCCACATACAAGTAGTAGTTCAGGGCTGGTAGTGGGAATTTCTATACAAGCAGAATGAATTTTCATTTTTAAATGTAAAGCTGTCGTCAATAATTTTCAATAGTCTTTAATATGTATATTTAAAAGGTTTTTTTGAATAGTTATAAACATACAGTGATTTCCCCCATCCCAGCATCAGCACATCAACAGCTGTCAGATACAAATATGTAATATAAGGAACTCAACAATTCCAAAAAAATGCATGTACTAATAAAATAAGTACCACCCTACCTATGATATTTATTTCTACTTTTATGAAATGATGGATATACTGACAATATTAAATAAAAACAAGTATTTACCTCAGCAGAATTGTGATACTGTATAAAGGTAGCAGATATTGCATGACTGAATGGATCACCTGCTTTGGGAGCCATATCCTGTTTGACCAAAAGAGCCAAGTCCACCAACTAGAAGAGCAACAAAAGCAACAATTAAAGACCAGGTTCACTGAGATGGAATTAACTTGTTATGAACTGGTGACAGGTTTCAGAGGGGTAGCCGTGCTAGTCTGTATCAGCAAAAACAACGAGGAGTACTGGTGGCACCTTAGAGACTAACAAATGTATTTGGTATAAGCTTTCATGGGCTAAAATCCACTTCATCAGTCTATGCATCTGATGAAGTGGGTTTTAGCCCACAAAAGCTTATACCCAAATAAATTTGTTAGTCTCTAAGGTGCCACAAGTACTCCTCGTTGTTTTTGTTATGAACTGCATCTCAAAAGTGAAGGAAGACACTATATGTGTATTGACACAAATGATGCTGATTCTAATCCTAACTAGACAAATTCAGCCTTGAAATAAGATGCAATTTCCTAGCAGTAACAGTAATTAAATGCTGGAACAGGAGGGATTCATCACTGATTGAAGTCTCTAAAGCGAGATTAGATATCTTTCTAAAATATAAGCTTTAATCAGCTTGTAGGAGATATTCTGAAGTCCGTGTGCGTGAGATGTCAGACCCTTCTGGCCCCGGATGCTTACCCAACTCTGCTTGCACCTCAGTCTGCAGCAGTCAGGAGGGATTTTTTCCCCTTGAAGTACAATTGGACAGATGTATTCTGTGTTTTTTTCCCCTCCACCTTCCTCTGAAGCATCAGGGTGTGACCAGAGCTAGAGATGAGACACCAGATGGGGTGGACCAGTGCTCTGAGGTAGCAGAGAGAATCCTCTCTCTCAGATGCCTGGCTGGTGTGTCTTGTTCATATGCTCAGGGTCATACTGATCTCCAGATCTGGAGTTGGGAAGGAATTTTACTTCAGGTCAGATTGACAGGGATCGTGGGTTTTTTTTCACCTCCCTCTGCAGTATGAAGCATGGATCACCAAACAAGGATCATTAGGTATATCACTCCAAATCAATTTCCTGCCATTGCAGGGGCCTCAACTATCCTGTTCTCTGCATGTGGCACACAGTTTAGCCTTCTGAAAAGTGAAATGCTTTGGTCTATCCCAAGTTATTGGGCTCAATATAGGGGTAACTGGATAAAATGTAATGGTTTGTGTTATACAGGAGGCCAGACTAGATGATCTAATGGACCCTTCTGGCCTGAAACTCTATGAAACTATAAATGCCTCTTTAATAGAGTTGAACTACAATGAGTTATTTTAACTTAAAGAACTGGAAGTGACCTATCTGTAACCGGAAGCTCTTCGAGATGTGTGGTCCCTATCTGTATTCCACACATTGATACACATGCGTGCCATGCAACTGAGTCCACAGATTCTTATCAAGAGCTGTCCATTGGCCCGCACACACGCAGTTGCTCTCCTCATGCTCCAGACCAAAGGCATAAGTGGTAGTGCTGGCTGCCGCCTCTCTCACCATGAATCCAACAGAATCTGAAGCAGAGGGGATGGAGGGCGGGTAGTGGAATACAGATAGGGTACATTTCAAAGAACTTACAGTTACAAGTAAGTAAACTCCATTTCTTCACGTGCTGGTCCCTATGTGTATTCCATATGTGGATGACTGACAAGCAGTATTCAGACCAGAGGTTGGTGCAAGGATGCCAACAGTAAACTTTGAGTCCAGGAACTACAATTCCAGGATGCACAGGAGGAGGAGGAGGAGGAGAGACAAGAAAGAGGAAAGAAAGAATGTGAGCTCTTTGAAAGAGTGAATGGAATAAATTTTACCTTTGCTGTTATCAAGCTTCCTGAGTCTTCCTCAAAGGGGTACAGGTGCAAAAGTCCTGACTAGGCCCTTCAGGAATCTATACATTGTTGGGTGAGTAAAAATGGAATGTTCATCTACTGGAGGAAGGACTGCACTGATCACTGCAAGATGGACCCAACAATGAGCTAAGGAAAAGACCCAAGTTCTTCAATGACAGGAGATAATATAAAATGACTGGCATATCCACAGAGTCTGAGGAAGACTGATTGTGCTGTGCCCAGGTATAGAAACATCTCCATTTAGATAGGTAGTAGTTCCTGGCTGAATCTTTACTACTCTGAGTAAGAATGGCTTGGACAGCTTCTGAACAGGAGTGTTCCAGTTCTGAAGCCCATCCACAAGCCAGTCTGTGAGGTGAAGTGGGTCTGGGTGGGGGTGTCTGATTTTGCAGTCTTCCTGAGTTAGAAGATCTGGCAAGGGACGGATCCTGATGGGAGGACAGGTTGACATTCTCAGAAGTTCAGGGAACCAAGTGTCTGGACTAGTTGGGTGTTATGAGAATGACTCTGGCCCTGTCATGACAGATCTTTCTCAAGACTTGGGGTAGCAGGGGAATGGGCAGAAAGGCATATCTGAGTTGGTCTGACCATCATAACAGGAAAGCATTGTCCTGGGCATCATGGCCCATACCTGCAATACGAGGGAAGTTTCCTGTTCGTTTGGGACATGAAGAGATCCCATTGAGGTGTTCCGCCTGAGTGAATCTCTCAGAGCTGTATATTTCCCACTCATGATCTGCAGAGAAATACCTGGTAGGTCCGTGGCTTGGATAGTGATGCAGTTTCTGAACATTCCAATGCCTGACTGCTTCCAGAAAGAGGGGCAGAGGTCTTCCTCAACCCTGCTTGTTTATATAAAAGGCCATAATGATATTATCCAATATTATTTGGATATGGAGCGAATACATGACGGACCCCTCTCCGTTCCAGCAGGTTGATGTGCAGTTTGGTGCAAGTGCCTTGTACAGTGTGGTCATTCAGGTGAGTGTCCCATCACAGAAGGGATGTATCTGTTATGATGGTGGCACTGGGGCTGACAGTGTTGAAGGGGGCTCCCACTTGCACTTGTTCCAGGTTCATGTGAGAGAGGCAATGACCTTGTTGGGAACAGTCACTCTGGTGTTCACATGGTCCTTGTCTGGTAAATAGAGAGACCAGAGCCAGGCCTATAGGTAGCACAGAAAAAATCTGGTGAATGGTATCACATAAGCACATGAGACCATGTGGCCTAGTAGGGAAAGGCATACTTTGAATGTAGTGTTTTTGTTTGCAAGTAACGTGCTATCAGATTGCTCATTGATTGAAATCTTTCTGCAGGGAGTAAAGATCCTTCTGAAATTGGAGTTGAGTGTCACTCCAATAATGTTTATTGTCCTTGTGAGGGTCAATATGGGCTTTTCTTGGTTTATGCAGAAACACCAGTATTGCTACAAGATGAAGCAAGAACAAAGTTGCTAATCTGACCTCATGGTAAGAGTGATCTGTTAGGAGCCAGTCAACCAAGTACGGGAAGGCTGTGCAGCCATTACATCTAATTTGGGGTGCCACCACAAAAAAAACCTTTGTGAATATTCTGGGTGCTGTTGCTAGTACAAGGGAAGGACACTATATGAAAGTAGGTGTCCTCTTTGTTGAAAGCCTCGAACCAGATTCCCTCCTGTACAAAGGGGATTACTGAAGCTAGTATAACCATCCTGAATTCTGACTTTTGAATAAAGATGTTCAGTTGTCAAAGATCCAGAATGGGTCTCCAACCCTCATCTTTTTTGGGGACTAACAAATATGGGGAATAGAACCCTCTCCCTTCGTACTGAGATTGCACTTGTTCTATTGGCGACTGTTGGAGAAGAGAATCTGCCTCCTGGCAAAGAATCTCCTCGTGAGAGTGGTCCTTGAAGAAGAAACATGAATGGGGTTTGTGGGAAGAAAGGGAGATAAGTTTGATGGAGTCATCATGGTGGATGATTTCTAGAACCCACTTGTCTGTCATGAGAGAGTCCAAATTGTGAGCAAAAAAGTGAGAGAAGGCTCCCAAAGATTGGGAGGGAGGGGAGCGGCAAAGGACAGAATAGAAGTGGTTGGCATCCATAAAGAGGTAATTCTCAACTGAGGGGTCAAAAGTAGCCCTGGGTAGGTGGGTGGCAATGGGTGGAGATCGTGGATGTAGAGGGAGCTGAAAATCAAGGTCTCTAAACTCTCTGTTGCTTGCATGGAGGCTCAGCTGAATGCTGATGGTAGAATGTTTGTGGAGAGGGTGGTCTTGGCCTATACACTTGTCTGGCGTGTTTTCTCTTCAGGGCCAAAATGCCAATTCCCAGGGAGCAGAGGGTCAATCTCGAATCTTTAAATGAGTGTAGAGACTCATCAGTTTTCTCGTTGAATGGTAAGTCCTCTATGATGTTCTGCACCTCTGCATGGAACCATGAAGAGTGAAGCCAAAACTCACACCTCATAAACAGAGTAGTGGCTAGCCCTCTAGATGCCATGTAGGAATGTTTTTGCCACTAGTCTGCCTTCCTCAAGGAAGGTTTGATTTTGGGCTCGGTCCTCATGGGGAAATTTGTCCTTAAAGTCTGCCAGTGTAGAGCAGTTGTTAAAATCATATTTCACTAACAAAGCCTGACAATTAAGGCTACGATTATGTTACGGAGGTTGTGGAAGTCACGGAATCCGTGAGTCGGGTGCATGAAAAAAATTTTAGCTCCTTTGGCCAGGACGAAATAGCACCTCTCAGCTCTTTTACCTGTGGGGGTGCAGAAGGGACCCTATGGCTGGCTCCATGATGATCTCATTTACCCTGAGTGCCACTTTGCTTGCCGTTGGTTGCAGACTGTCAAGGAGCCAGTGTTGGGAATCCTGGATCTCCTCCATAGGGATCTGAAGGTCATTTGCTATCGTCTACAGTAGTTCCTGGTACTGCTTATAGTTGTCTGGCAGAGATGGTGAAGACAGAGTAATTGCTTTGTGCAGAAATGAGGATGAGATTCCTATCAGTACCTGCAGATGTGGCTCAATTTCAGCCTCCGGGAGATGCTGTATGGGAGAGGTGCATAGGACTCATGCACAGATCCTGGATGCCTGCCATAGGGGTCCCATGAACCCTAGGAAGGCCAAAAGGAGGGGTTAATCAGTTGAGAGGAACCTTATGGCATTGGGTAGCAGCAGTTCTTGGAAAAGTCAAAACTGGGAGGAGGGCATCCAGTTCTCCTCAACTCCCTGTCAGGACTTATCTCTCTGCAAGGAGATGAATGGCTGGCCAGAGCATCTGACTCATCCAAGTCAGAGACCTGCTCTGGCTCTACTCATGGGGTATGGAAGGTGAACACGCCGGAGTCAGGGTTGGAGCAGGGAGGATTCTTGAGTTACTGAAGTAGATTTGTCCTCCGGTGTGGAGATATCTCTCAGGGGACCGGGTCTGAGAGGAGAGGGGATGAGACATGAGTGTCCACATGTCCCAGGGTTCAGGGTGTACGGGCGGTCAGGACTGATGATTCTGATGCATCCCAAGAGGTTGCAGGTGGCTGATCCTTAGAAGAATGGGCTGGGACTGCCATAGAGTCAGGTCCTGTACGCTTAGATGAGCCAATGGATGCCAGTCTTTATGTTTAGGAGTCAGAGCCACCAAGAGAACCGATGGATCCTTTTTCTTCTGTGTTTTAACTGCCTGCCTGGGGCCTTCAGCAGTTCTGAGCCATTAGGATGTGTGTATGAAAATTTGCCCAACTTGGATGGGGTCAGGGAGGGATCTCTTCTCTCAGGAACAGACCTGAATGGGGATCTGTCCTTGCATCCATGAGAGTGCCTCTTACTCTTATAGAAGCCCTGAATGATGTGTCCTTGGATTTAGCAGCTTTAGGCTCTGCTCCCTAGTTCATGCTTGGAGAGCAATTACATATATGTGGGCCAACAGACACTGCTTTTCATGAACCTCTGGACTCGGGCACATGTGGAATACACATAGGAATCAGCACTCAAAGAACCACCTCTCTCATCACCTTTTATAAATTTACTGAGTAATTTGTCTACCTAAAGAGGCTTGGCCCCTACCTTTTATTTACAGTTGGGATGACTGAACCCAAGTGAATTGCCAGAACTCACATAGAAAAGTGAGTGGTTTCAGTGGCCTCCTAGCTGCTGATCTTTTGCTATAACCGTTAGCCAAAAGTGCCACTTACACACCAGAGCAATGAGCACGGTACAGTACAAAAGCTCAGATACAGCAAATTACATGAAAGTTAGAAAGGAATCCAGAGACAGTCCCTTGAAAGGTCAAATACACTTTGAAGAAATGTTAACACACAGCCTGAAGTGTCTGTTGAGATTAGTTGAAAGATGTTTAAGATTACTAGTTACATTTGTTCTGCTGTATCACAGTAAGTATAGCACATTCCCTTACCTGTGCCACAGTCTCATATGCTAAATATGCCAAAATCTCCATGGCAACTGCATTTGGTTTTATTTCCATGCTGCTGCAGTCCAGCCAATCACGAAACTTGGAAGCTTTCTTGGCTGTCAGTTCAAAACAAAATGAACAGAAGTTAATGTTAACAATAGATCTACCCTCTTATTTGCTTAATTCTACATCTGACAGGGTAAAAGTCAAACAGTAAAACTGAACTTGATGTGAAGGGCAAGAAAGAGGGATTCACAGAGGGGGTTGGAATGAGACAGTGAGATTAATGGGTAAAGATGCTAATTTCACAGGCAGCATTTTGGGTAGCCTATAAGGGAAGGCTATGACCATCATGAAGGAAAGAAGGAGAAAAAGATGCAGTAATCAAGGCAGGAGATTACCGTATGGACAAACATTTAACTGTGGGGACAGACAGGAAGGGTTGGAGTTACAATGTATTATGGTAGAAGAAAAAGCAGGCTTGTGTCACCCCTTGGATGAATGGTGATAAAGATAGGAGGAATCCAAGATGGCTCTGAGGCTGCAAACCTGAGTGAGGAGGATAAGGATGTTATCAACAGCAATGATGAAAGGTGGAAGTGATTTAGAAGGAAAATGAAGGAGCTCAGTTTTAACTATGTTAGGGTCTTGGAGGATGACAAGCTATCCAGCATGATTCGCTGGGTATGTCTGAAATGCGGTATTAGGCAGAGGGAAATAAAAAGTGCAGCCATGTAGATCTGTAAATCATCAACACAGAAATAATGCTTTGATCTCACACACTCTCGGGATACCTCAGGAATAAGGCAGAGGGAAAAAAAGAAAAGATGGGCAGAGACAGAGAGCCATGGGGGCTTGCACAAAGAGGGGAGGAGGTGGGAAGGCCAAAGTGACACTGACGGAATGGCAGAAAAATTAAGAGGAGAACCAGGAAAGGCCAAAGGGAGGATAAAATGTTGTTAAGGAGAGAGTGAACAATGGTTTCAATGACTAGAGAAAGATGAAAGAAACTTGGCCAGGAGGAAGTCCTTAGTGCTTTTGGTGAAAGCTGTTTGTGAAGAGGGTAGAAATCAACTGGAGGGAATCTGAGGTGGGAGAGTAATTTGATATAGAGTTGTAAACAGCCTGTTCAGTCAGCCTGGAGGTAAAGGGGAGAAGAGAGATTAGGAGTTGGTTGGAAAGGCAGCTGTTATCAAGGGTCATATTTTAGGACAGGGAAACAAGGATATACTGGTTGGCTGAGGAAAAGAAGCTGAAGTAGGAGAATTTGAGGATGAGTAAAAGGTAGCAGGATCAGAAGCACTGGCTCGAATATTTACACATGCCGTCTTAGACTGTTTGGTATTTGGGGCAGGGAGCTTTTCTTCCACCAGTTTTTAAAATGCCATACAGATTTATGGTGTTATATAACTAAGTAATTATAATACTACTGTAACATTGGGTGACTCTTCAGGAGCTAATACATGGCTTTATCTTACAGTAATATGGGTTTATTATTTTAAACACACTGCAGTTTTTAAATTCAATTTCTACTACAACTAAGGGAAACATGGAAAATAGTCTTTTGTCTTAATTTTTAATAAAAGGCCATGTGCCATTTAGCACATTACTGTATTATCTGGTTTGCTTTATGCTAGGTAATGAAATTGTGAGTATGATTCGCCTCACTAGTTTTACACCAGTAAAACCCCATTGATATCAACTAACAACTTGATTGATATTAAATGTGAGGGGAAAATGAGGCCATGGTTATTCAAAAATGTAACAAAATTATCCATCAGATCATTTAAAAAAATAATCATGATCTCCAGTTCATCAACATTCAATGTTATTTTGTAAACCGAAGATTTATATTTGTGCTGAGTTCTGATTATAATTTTTAGGTTTAAAAATGGCATTATCACAAACCTCTCATTAGCTGAAATCACCCCAATCTGAAGTACCATTTACCTAATGGTTCACAGATGTGTGATGCCAAATTACAACTGAGCTTTCAAAACATATTGAATTAGGAAAAGAATAAAGGCTTACAAAACATGTTTTCCTACATTTGCTGACATTTACACAAAGCGCTATTTTGGATGTGTCATTTATTTGCACTTTATGATACATAAATGAATCACTCATGCACCCAATTCAAATGCCTTGTTATAAAGAACAAGATAAGCGTCTCTCATTTAAAGACACCATTGTGTTCAATTTTGTATTGTAGGGTCATGTGCTATTTTGTCATGCTTTTCACTAGCTCTTTCACCTCACTTTCTCTTTGACCTTTAACCCGAAGCCTTAGTCATCACTTAACCGCTTCTGTAGTGATGTTTTGCTACATGATCAAGCCCATTAATTTATAACCCATTATAGTTGTGGCCCACAAGCATTTCTACTAAGCGGGTTAAGCCCTAATTCTGTCATCATGTTATTAGTGTTGGAATGGCGTGTACTGATGAATTTGGCTAATGTTGAATAAATTCCACAGCAGGAGGTTATGACTTAAAATAGAAAAGCCTCTTTAGTAAGTTCTTTGTATGGTCTATGGATGTAGAAATAAAAAGGAAAACATACTACCATTAGTTAATTTTAGATACCTTCAGAAGTAATCACAACCTGGAGGGTGTACTTCATTAATCAGCTGTGTATAACAATACCAAGGTAAGCTGCATACAAACGTGGTTATTTTAATACATAAACCGGTTAAAAGTTTTATCTATCTATTTATGGATTTTATACTAGCACTCAGCATCAGAGTATTTGTATTATATGAAATTTGGGAAATATAAAAATAAATAAAATAGTCTGCCTGATCTCAATACAGTGTAATAAATTAGCATCACTTAGAAGTTCTGAGGACAGAGAACCTAACATACTCTTTCATGCATTAAATAAATACATTTCCAAGAAATGTATCAATTAGGTTCTACAGTGTACATAAAGTAACTGCACATCAAAATACTATGCAGGAGTTATGTGATAGTACTTACAAAAGCTTAACTGACGACTTTCACAAAATTCTGCATACTGGGCTGAGTCCATCATTCGTGTTTGTCTTTCTGCTCTCTGAAAAACAACGGGTAGATTTAAATAATGCACCTTATTCAAACAAGAACCACATATTGCAAAATAAATGCCACCCACAAAATTCTGACGTTAACCCAAAAATTAAATGTTGTTTTGACAGGAATAAGATGCACAAAAATAACACACGGTTGGGTTATTTCTCATGGGCAATATTTGCCAACGGTAAGATTCAGAATTTTGATTCCAGAAGTTTGCTTAAATATGTTCCTTATGCAGCACAACAGTTAGGGCTCAAGCCTGCAAGGTCCTGAGTACTCTGGCCCTGAGCCAGGAAAACACTTAAATACACATTTAAATTTAAGTCAGTGAGTAGTCCCACTGTGTGCTTAATGTTAAGCACATACTTGTGTTTTCCTGAGTCAAGGCCAAAGGGCTCAGCGTCTTGTATAACTGAGGCTATGGCTACACTAGAGAGGTTACAGCAGCCAGTTGCACTGATGCAGCTGCACCGCTGTAACTTCTCAGTATAGCTGCTCTAAGCCGACAGGAAAGAACTCGCCTGTCGACTTAATGAATCCATCCCCAGCGAGCGGTGGTAGCTCTGTTGGCAGGAGATGTTTTCCATTGACGTAGCACTGTCCACACCAGCGCTTAGGTCAGTGTAGCTTATGTCACTCAGGAGGTGGCTTATTCGCATGCCTGAGTGACACAAGTTATACCAACATAAGTGATAGTGTAGACATAGCCTGAGCCCTAAATCCTTTTGAAATAGACACTAATGAAACCGCTGTGGGGATGCACCAGGTCAGCAGGAGAGCAATAGAGGTGAACTCTGCTCCACACCAACTTGGTACATGCAGCAGCACTGGGATAGTGATTGCTGGCATTTTAACCGATAACGTGTGCCTTCATTTTTATTCTTCAGAAAGAAGAAGGCAGCTAGGAGAGGAAGAAAGTGAAAATTAAACAGGGTAATTAATTAAATCCCATTTGAGAAAAAAAACATTCTATAGGATAGTTTTAATTGTATTTCATACAGCTATAGTTAAATGTAAAATAAATTCTTATGTAACACAGTGCCTCAAAACAGTCAAAGTATTCAAACCAAACACATTTATATATAGCAACCCCTCCAAATATCTGCAACACCATATTTAGGCCAAGATTCAACCACACATTTATGTTTATATTTAATTTTAAGCACATGTTTGAGTCCCATTGACTTCAATGGAGCAATACTGATTTACACTAGCTGAGGATCTATCCCATATAGTAGACTTTACACCCTCTGTGACAGTCTATAGTTATGTTCACCACTTTTACAAGACTATGATAAATTTTGTACAAGTATGCCTTGTGAGGTATCGTTTGAAAAGTCATAATCTGCTGAATATCATTATCCTGTTGGAATTTCTGTAGCAATACTATATGTGAAGTTTTGAGATTCTACTGTATGATAGTTACTAAAATATGCTGTAATTCCAGGTAACACCCACAAACCAGTTTTTCAGAGACAAAGACACACTGCCCCCCTGCCAGGTATTAAAGAGCTATCACTAGTTTAAGCGGCCATTCTCCAACAGGGGGAAAGGTGTAAACAATAAATTTACATTTCATCACAGGGATGGGTCAGACTTCACATCCACAAGAGACTACGGCTATGTCTACACTACAGAATTAGGTCGGATTTATAGAAGCCGGTTTTATAGAAACCGGTTGTATGCAGCCGATTGTGTGTGTCCCCACCTAAAATGCTCTAAGTGCATGAAGTCGGCGGACCGCGTCCACAGTACCGAGGCTAGCGTCGACTTCCGGCGCATTGCACTATGGTACCTATCCCACAGTTCCCGGAGCCTCCGGCGCCCATTGGAATTATGGGTTGAGATCGCAATGCCCGGATGATGCAAAGCAGTGCCGCGAGGGGTTCTGGGTACATTGCGTCAGGCCCCTCCCCCGCCGTCACAGCAACGGCAGACAATAGATTCGCGCCTTTTTACCTGGGTTACCTGTGCAGACAACATACCACGCCAAGCATTGAGCCCGCTCAGCTCAGCTCACCGTCACCATATCTCTTCCGGGTGCCGGCAAACGTGGGACTGCATTGCTAAACAGCAGCAGCAGCTTACTGCCTTTTGGCGGTAGACGGTGCAGCATGACTGATAGCCTTCATTGGCGATCTGGGTGCTGGCAGCTGTGGGGCTGGCAGCCGTAGGGCTGCATTGCACCAGCCCCTTGCCTTTTGGTAGAAGATAGTATATTACGACTGGTAACCGTCGTCATCGTACTGCAGTGGCTGTCGATCATGGGCACCCGGGCAGACAATGATGGTTATCAGTCGTAGTATGCTATTTTCTGCCAAGTGCCCAATATTGTCTGCTAAGCACCCAGAAGAGGCCGAGGGCTATCTGGGTGCTGGCAGACATGGGGCTGGCAGCCGTGGGGCTGCATTGCACCAGCCCCCTTGCCTTGATGATGATGGTTATCAGATGTATTATTCGCAGGATGGGGCAACATTGCTACACAGCAGCAACCCCTTGCCTTTTGGGCAGAAGATAGTATATTACGACTGGTATCCATCGTTGTCATACTGCAGTGGGCATCATATTGTGCAGTAGACCTGAAGGCTTACTGCCAAGCGCCCAGTATTTGCTGCCAAGCACCCAGAAAATGCCAAGGGCTATCAGTCATGCTGCACCGTCGTCTTAAGATGTAAAAAATAGATTTATTCTCCATTCATTTGCTTCCCCCCTCCCTCCTGCTAAACCCAGGCTTTTGAGTTCAATCTTTGGGGGGGGGGGCATTCTGTGTGACAGTTGTTTGTGTTTCTCCCTGATGCAAACCCACCTTTCTTGATTTTAATTCCCTGTACCTGTACGCGGTGTCACTCGCCCCTCCCTCCCTCTCTCCCTCCCTCCCTTCTTCCCCTGGTCCGTCAGATACTACTTTCGCGCTTTTTTTCAGACCAGACGCCATAGCCAGCACTGGGATCATGGAGCCCGCTCAGATCACCGCGGCAATTCTGAGCACTATGAACACCACGCGCATTGTCCTGGAAAACATGCAGAGCCTCCTGGACATGCCAAAGCCAAACCAGGACCAGCTGAGGAGGAGGCGATTGCAGCGCGGCGACGATAGTGATGAGGAAATTGACATGGACCTCTCACAAGGCACAGGCCCCAGCAATGTGGAAATCTTGGTGTTACTGGGGCAGGTTCATGCCGTGGACCGCCGATTCTGGGCCCGGGAAACAAGCACAGAGTGGTGGGACCGCATCGTGTTGCAGGTCTGGGACGATGCCCAGTGGCTGCGAAACTTTCGCATGCGTAAGGGCACTTTCATGGAACTTTGTGACTTGCTTTCCCCTGCCCTGAAGCGCCAGAATACCAGGATGAGAGCAGCCCTCACAGTGGAGAAGCGAGTGGCGATAGCCCTGTGGAAGCTTGCAACGCCAGACAGCTACCGGTCAGTCGGGAATCAATTTGGAGTGGGCAAATCTACTGTGGGGGCTGCTGTGATCCAAGTTGCCAGGGCAATGAGAGACCTGGTGATATCAAGGGTAGTGACTCTGGGAAACGTGCAGACCATAGTGGATGGCTTTGCTGCAATGGGATTCCCAAACTGTGGTGGGGCGATAGACGGAACCCATATCCCTATCTTGGCACCGGCGCACCAAGCCACCGACTACATAAACCGCAAGGGGTACTTTTCAATGCTGCTGCAAGCCCTGGTGGATCACAAGGGACGTTTCACCGACATCAACGTGGGCTGGCCGGGAAGAGTACATGATGCTCGCGTCTTCAGGCAGTCTCTTCTGTTTCGAAAGCTGGAGGAAGGGACTTTCTTCCCAGACCAGAAAATAACAGTTGGGGATGTTGAAATGCCTATCGTGATCCTTGGGGACCCAGCCTACCCCTTAATGCCATGGCTCATGAAGCCATACACAGGCAGCCTGGACAGCAGTCAGGACCTGTTCAACTACAGGCTGAGCAAGTGCCGAATGGTGGTGGAATGTGCATTTGGCCGTTTAAAAGCGCGCTGGCGCAGCTTACTGACTCGCTCAGACCTTAACGAAAAGAATCTCCCCATTGTTATTGCTACTTGCTGTGCGCTCCACAATATATGTGAAAGTAAGGGGGAGACATTTATGGCGGGGTGGGAGGTTGAGGCAAATCGCCTGGCCGCTGATTACGCGCAGCCAGACACCAGGGCGGTTAGAGGAGCACAGCAGGGCGCGGTGCGCATCAGAGAAGCGTTGAAAACCAGTTTTGTGACTGGCCAGGCTACGGAGTGAAACTTCTGTTTGTTGCTCCTTGATGAACCCTCTGCCCCTCCCCCACCACCCTGTTAACTCTACTTCCCTGCAAACCAACCACCCCACCCTCCCCTACTACCCTCCCCCCTTCGAGCACCACTTGCAGAGGCAATAAAGTCATTGTTGCTTCACATTCATGCATTCTTTATTAATTCAGCACACAACTAGGGGGATAATTGGAAAGGTAGCCCGGGATGGGTGGGGGAGGAGGGAAGGAAAAGGACACACTCCAATTTAAAACTTTAAAACTTATTGCTATGGAAATCATCTAGGGTGGAGTGAGTGGGTGGCCGAAGGCCCCCCCACCGTGTTCTTGGGCGTCTGGGTGAGGAGGCAATGGGACTTGGGGAGGATGGCTGCTGGTTACAGAGGGGCTGTAGCGGCGGTCTCTGCTCCTGCTGCCTTTCCTGCAGCTCAACCATACGCAGGAGCATATCACTTTGATGCTCCAGCAGCCGGAGCATCGACTCTTGCTTTCTGATTACAAGTTGACGCCACCTCTCCTCTTCAGCCCGCGTTTCAGCACGCAACTTCTCATCTTCAGCCCGCGATTCAGCACGCCACCTCTCCTCTCGCTCATATTGGGCTTTTTTAAAATCAGTCATTGACTGCCTCCACGCATTCAGCTGTGCTCTGTCAGCGTGGGAGGCAGTCTGAAGTTCAGTAAACATTTCGTCACGCGTCCTTCGCTTCCTTCTTCGAATATTCACTAGCCTCTGCGAAGGAG